AAGTCGCATATGGTGGAGGCTAGACATGCTTCCATGAGAAGCAGGCCTCCAAGATTCATCTCTTACCCCCTTTCTAAAGGAGACAAGAGTTGGTCACAAGAGATAACAGAAAGATGCAAACCATGAAGCAGAGAAACAAACAAGTCAAAGAAGAAAGAAAATAGCATTCATTCCACATAATAGAAGATTACAAAATTATGGTTACAGTTATCAAAAATATGCAAAAGAAATGAAAAAAAGATAGAACAAGCAAAAAGAGTAAATAATTCATGAGCCCCTAGAAATTGTCAAAGGCTTCATGAATCTTGGTCTTCAACACTTTTGAGTGCTCTGAGGCCATATTCATATGCTCTTGGAGGTGGGAGATCACCTGAGTAATTTAACTTGACAATGTGTTGGTCAAGGCCACCTCGGAGTCCAATTTTTCTAATTCCTGAGACTTGCTTCGAGCCTCTTCTCTCTTCTGATCCTGCTCAGTCTTCAACCGGTGGATATAAGTTTCCAACTTTTCCTTTCTTCCTCTGTAGCCTTTATCTTTGCAGAATATATAGTGTCTTCATTTTTGAAGCTAGTCTGATGAGAAAGGACAGAGACCTTCTTATCCTTATCGCTCATTATGAGGCTCTGATGCTGAGCCAAGGAGTCCTCTAAAGAAGCCAGGCGACCCCCACATAATTGTTGCATTTCAGCTTAACGCTGGACTCTCCATCGTTCAAGGTCATTAAAAAGACCTTTGAATAGTTCAAAGGTTTCCTTTTCATAGCTAACAATCATCAAAGCAGTAGCACAGTCCCTGACTGCAATAATCTCAGCTGCAAGATCAGAGAGGAAGCATTCCTTTAGCCCTTGAAGAATTGACTATAACAAGTTCTCTACCATCAAAGTCTTCCTATTTGACATGGTGCTTGACACCGAAGAAGGCAAATATGAAGAACTAATCACCACAAGGGGTGCAACTTTAGCAACAATCGCTGGTTCTTGAGAAACAAGGGCCAAGGACTCACTGGAAGGAGCATCTGGCTTGGATGGGAGCTTTACATTTGGAATTGCTGAAATTGGCACTTCAGGAATATGAACAACTACAAGTTCCAAAGTTTTACTTGAAGAAGCATCTGGTTGGGGCTCTGCTTCTTAATTAGTTCGAGCGGGCACTTTTGAAGTTGTTGTTTCGATGTCTGGAGCCACACCGATTGCTTCAGGCTCAACTTCAAGAATATTCCCTTCTTCAGTAATAGTGCAGAGAAAGTCTCCCTGGCTCAATGATGAGAGAGTCTAATTCAAGATGAATTGGGTTGTCAGCGATGGGTGCCCCTATTTCTACCACAAGAGAGGGACTTTTCTGGTCAACAGCTCAAGCCAAAGGAAGTCTGACTAGATGAACTTAGTTGGGTTGTGACAATTTCAGGAATTGTCTCTTGAACGGGAGATGCTGCCTCTGATGATAGAGTTGGGCTAGCTGGCGCCTTCGTCTTTTTACACTTCTTCGACCTGGGAGGTAAATCAAATCCTTCACTTGAAGCAAATGGAACCAAATGAGATGCATTTGGACTTGACAAAGCCCTCTTGCTCAGTTGGGTACTCTTTCTACGAACCTCAAGTTCTACAGTACTACTGGGTTCGGGGCTCTTTATGCCCTTCTTCTTCTTTGTCCCTTTCTTCTTTACCCTCTTCTCTGGAGTTGCCTCATATCTTGACTTTGAACGAGCAATCTTGGTCTTTTGACCATAGCGAGATTTGGCAACCGGAGCTGAATGCAATCCACTCGTTATAAAAGCATTGAGGTGTTGAACATGACGACCTACATAACCAGGGACCGCACGACCCTTGGTCCACTTGAAGATTGAACAAAGGTCATAAAAAAAAAGACCTGGATTCACCTTCAAATGAGAGATATTGGATGCTAGTATGGTCCATGGCTAATGATCAAGGTTATCCAAGCCCCTTCCAGTCCAAGGGGTAATCAAGTTTGTAAACCTTGAAGAAGAATGGAGGTGTGAAATGCATCATGTGCCTTGTATCATGCTTAGTACTATTGATGGCCTTCCATGCATGGGTTGCCTTCTAGTAAGAACGGTTGGTGGTGTTCCACCACTGCTAATAACCCTCAGTGGCATGGCCTACATGACCATAATGGGGGATGACAAACTTGCTCAAGCCAGTACGAGCAAGACAGGTTTCCCAAGTCATTCTCTTGTTGCTACCTGTCTAGGATTCACGACTTTCACCTGGAGCATCATGGTATTGTTGAGACCCCTTCTTCCCATACTTCTTCGCAAAAAGTATCGAGAAGGAGCACCCTTGGTCTGAGCTATGTTGGCGTGCAAATCTGTGGGGAAAGTAGCTTCAAGCTTCTTATCTCTGACACCCCTATAAGGTAAGATGCATCCCCTAGCACTTAGGAGATACATGGCTTCTCGGGTCTTAGTGGTATGTCCATCAAAGGCCTCACCAAAAGCAATTGTGTAAACACGGTCAGTGGGACCACCTACAGGAAAGGGGTCCCCACGAGAGAAGAAGGAGTGGTCAGCTAGGAATCAATGTGCCTCGCTTGGTCCTCTAAATATGGCCTTCATCCCAACAATCCTCAACATTTGAGGGCAAGTATACTCTGACAAAGCCTCATTGATCTCATATGCTCTGGGGGTATAAGGAGGAGATTATTTCTTGGGAAAGTATGCTGAGAGCTAGCCAAAGATATAATGAACATGGAAGCTCGTTTTGAAACGGCCAGGTAAGACCTCTCCGTCAAAAGACTCACTCTTGCTATCTCTAGATGCTACCTTACCACATGCAATTGCTCCTAAACTGTGGTATATGCTATAAAGGACTGGTTGGGCCAAGGAATATTTACGCCCTTGAGCAAGGCTATAGGCCACAAAGAAGCAACCAGGATGGATGGCATTACCCTTTGACCTTGGGAGTGCAATTTGCACAAAAAGAGAGTGAGATATGTAGCCAGTACACATGGTCCTTTTCAGGCCTTCTAGGAGGGTTCACTAGATCCTTGGTCTCTTCTTCCACCTCTTGCTCATCATCATCCCAGACGGCACTGGAATTGGGTTCCTCTTTATCTTGAAGATTCTCATGAAAGAAATCCCTTCATGCATTGAAATGCATTATCTTGGATTTGGTCTTGGTCTCTGAAAGTAGGAGTTGGTAAATTTCGAACAACTCACGAAGACCTGAAGCGTGTGGTTCACCATTGATGGTTTGAGTTCCAAAAATTAGCCCGTTACTGGGGATGAACCCTTCATACATGGCCCCCAGCATGGGCAACCCACCATTGAAGTACATGTCAAGGAGGGTAATTCCCTCTTCATTGTGATGAAGGTGCCAGCTGTTACTTTATGACACCAGAGCTCCAAGAGGGCCTTGATTGTATTTGAGCACCTATTGTAGTAACTAGCTGAGCATTGGCAAGCTGCAGATAAAGCACATGCTACTACATCCTTAGCATGCGATTGAAGGACATCAAACATCCATGTGCTATACCCCCGCATGTATTGGTGCTCTCCCTCAAACCGGAGTCCACTAGATTCCCAATGAAGGCCTTCTTTCTCCATCATTCTCTTCCCTAGAGTGGGGAGATTCTCACTTGAATCAAAATTCCTATGAAGCGAATGATACATGGGTACACCATCTCCTTGAATCACAGGTTCACCATTTGCATCTTCATAAAGATAAAACTGAGTGTCTTCACCTACATAGGTGACGCTTAAGGGCCATTCCAGCCTCTGAGTGATTTCAAGACACCAAGGTTTGTGGATCTTGTAAAAGAAGCACCTTTATATGCATCAGTGCCCAAGTCTCTAAGACGCGGTAAATGGTTCGCTTCAAGAATTATGACTGCAAAAGAAGCACAAAAAAAAAGAAAAAAAAGCAATTAAGCAAGATAACAGGTCAATCTGATAAGAGTTTTCAAGTGAAAGAAGAAGAGAAAGCATCAAGAATTTTGCAGAATTTCAGCGGCATCTCCCCTATATTCAGAGGTTTGACAAAGAAGGTGTTTGGCTAGTCCAAAGTACTCAGGAGATTCTAAGAAATCACAAGTCCGTAGGTTAAATGCCCATCATGAAAAGTGACCCTGAAGAGCTCCGTTTTCTATCATAGGAGTGTTCAAGAATGCTCAAAGATGCATAATTGTGCATGAAAATGCTTAGAAATGCTTGACTATGCTCAAAATGCATAACTATGCATGAAAGTGCTCAAGAGCCACACCATGATGCATAACTACGCTTAACTATGCTCAATTACATTAAAAAGATGCATGTAAATGCATGACAGTGCTTAGAAGTGCTCAATGGACTTTTAAAATTCGTAACTATGAAGTGGAGGTGCTAAAAATGTCCGATTTTGATCCAAAATTATTCTTGAAATACAATGGGTGTCTGAAGAGATGCTTTAGATGCTAAGATATGCATAAAAGCATATAAGAAGGTGAAGAGTTATGTGAAAATGCGAAGGGTTGTCTAAAGAAGATATTTCAAGAAACATTTGGGATGTGCAAGAAATCTTTGGGAATGTTCAAGAAACATTTGAGAGCAAGAAATATTTGGGAGTACTCAAGAAATGTTTTTTTAGAGTGCTCAGTGAAGTGCATTCATGGTGCTTAGGGACATTGACGAAGATATCCATGACACTCGAGAGTATAGTCATATGGTGCTCAGAAATTATTTGGGGTATCTAGACATATTCAAAGTGCTCGAAGAAGACATCTGTGCAGCTCAAAACATGCTCATATGGTACTCAAAGCAATTTTCGTGAAGCTCCAAAATGTTCATGATGATTCAAAACAATACTTGCAGTGTCTGAAAATGCTTGTGATGCTCTAAGAAAATATGCTTGATGCTCAAACGTATTCGCGTGACGTCCAGCAGTTAATTACAACGTGCAAAGTGATATTCGTGATGCTCAAGTATGTTCATGATGCCCGAACATGTTGGTGATGCTTAAGAACATTTCTGAAGCTCAAATATGCTCATGGGGTTCAAAGAAATTTTCGTAAAGCTTCAAAATGATCCTGGTTCGTAATGTGACGAGCATGTTTGTGAAGGTCATGGTGCCAAACAAAAAAATATATGTTCGTGATGCCCAAGAATTGGGCGTGAAGCTCTAAAATGCTCACGGTATTGATTCATGATATTTGTGACGGACGTGAAGCCCAAGAATTGGGCGTGAAGCTCTAAAATGCTCACGGTATTGATTCATGATATTTGTGAGGGACGTGATGTTCGAAAGGTTCATGATGCCTAGACAAGTTCGTGATGGTCAAAGATTGATCCATGAAGCTCCAAAGAATACTTCAGATGATAAATGAGGAGGCAAGATGCACTAAGAATGCTCAAGGAATGCTCAAAAGATGATCAAGTCATCTAGGTTACACTAAAAACGGGTGTTCAAGCATTAAATCAAACATGAAGCGTGAAAAGAGGAGATAAGAAGAAATGAAGGAAAAAGAAACCATCAAAAGCTTTTAAGGAAGTAAGAGATGGTTACCTGGGGGTTAGAAGTATAGCCATGGTCCCCAAATATATTATCTTGAAGGTCACTTTTTCTCTTTAAAGAAAGGTCCCTCTCACTTTCTCTCTAGAAGAACAAGAGAGGTGAGGATGAAATGGGTGAAAATGCACCCATTCACACTTATAAAACTCGGACGTACCTCCTCTCTCACGAAAAAAAACTCGGACGAACCCCTTTTCTCACGAAAAATGCTTGGGCCCTCGCCTAGGCACAGCCCGTCTTTCGTCATCCCTCATCTACGTATCTCTCTCACACCCGTCTAAAACGCATGGACCTGCACCTAGGCGGGTCCGTCATCCCTCATCTTCATCTCGTTCTCTCTCTCTGTCACCCGTCTAAATGCACGGAACCACACCTAGGGCAGGTCTATCATCCTTCATTTTTATCTTGTCCACCTAAACGCACGGACCCGCGCCTAGGGCGGGTCCATCACTATCTATTTTTATCTCCTTCTCTCTCTCCAATGATACCCAGACCCATACCATAGGCAGGTTCCTCACATTCCTCTCATTGTCCAGCACTCTCTTCTCTCTTGTACATCTAAAAAGACATGGACCCGCACCCAAGGCGGGTCCACTCGTCATTTTCTTTTTCTCTCACTTCATCTTCTCTCGTTTGTCACTACTCACACAAGCCCATGGTTTAACCATGAGCTGAACATAACCTTGTGAACATTTGACACAAGGTGATCAAAGGGGCTATACTTCTTATTCTACCTACACACACTAACCCCCAAATGGGTAACCTTGAGCTATATGAAGCCCAAAAGCCTGAGCTCATTAGCCCCATTTTTGGCAAACCCTCGAGGTTTAAACCATGAACCGATTATCCCAGTGAAACCCTGAATTCATTTTTAAATTTTTCATGGATCCATGCTACCCATTTGAGTCCCACTTTCAAAACCATTAAATTCAAGTATCCTAAAAATGATGACCTAGGGCATCATCATTGTTAAGGATGTTTTAATCCTTAAAAGTGCCTGATCCACGGCGGAGATACATACTTAATTTGCCTCATCCCCAATGGAGATACACTGAGCATTTTTGTAAGGATATTATTGTCCCTAGCATGTTCAAACACTAATGAAGATACACCTTTGCGTAAAAGCTTCAAAATTGCAATCGAGCCTATTATTTAGCTGATGTATGGCTCACAGAAATCATAGCTTCCAATGAAGACCCTGATGACTCATAAAAACTATGGGAGTCCCAATCACCCCATTAGCTTGAACTATCATCCCAATGAGTCAGAAATTACCCTTCCCATTGCAATCCCATTCATTAGCTTAAACATTATAAAATACCATCCTCAAAACCCCTTTACTTGGGATTCACTTAAGAGCTCCATTATCCTCATGGAGCCATACCAAATATATCCCACTCACTTGAGCCTTCATAAGCCCCATGAGTAATACCATGCTCAAGGAGTCCCAGAGCCCCTTGATGGGCCATTACCCCCAATAGACCACTACTTACAGTGGATCATCACCCCAGTGTTTCATCATCCCAATGGTCTGTCACTCCATAGGTTTATGATCTCTAGTGATAGGTCATCATTCCCAGTAAGTCACTACCCCCAATGGTGCAGATACACTATGACTAATGTATGGAATATGTTATTCCTTCATCACCTAAGGGAGGTAACCATTTCTTTACCTTATAGACATATATTATCCCTAGGTTGTTTTCATTCACCAATTATCTTATGGTCCATCTAAAACCCCTATACCCCAAACAAGTGTATGTCATTCATCACCTTGCAAAACCCAAAGACATCGCCAATAGTGTTCACCTTCCTAATAAAAGCCTCACCCGTGGTATCCGGTGAGCCCCCAGTGAGACTAGTATAGTTATTACCCCTCCATCCTATGCATCATCAAGGAGGAGGTCTTCTCTTTTTAGTATAAAAAGAAAAAAGGTCGGACATGATGAGCATCCGATGAGGATCGTCATGAGTAAAAGTGAGAGCTTTAGATGGACATAGCCACGATGTTATGGGTAATATTGCCAAAAATAAAAAATTTGCATGGTGAAAACCCGAAATGGCACCATGAGTAAAAATGAAAGACAAGCGTGGCCATGAAGCTATGAGTAAAAGTATTTTACAAATAGAAAATCAGGCATGGTGAAAACTCGAAAGGGCCCCATGAGTAAAAAAAGGAAAGAAAAGGTGAATGTGACCTCAAAGTCATGAGCAAAAGAGCCTTAATAAAAGAAGAAGTTGGGGAAACCGTTTTACGACGCCACTTCTATCCAGTTCAGGTGGAAACCTGAAAGGGCACCTGGACTAATAGATAGGTTGATGCAACATTCAATCAAGGTGGCTTCAACCAATTACAACAAAATTTTGTCGGTTTAGGAATCAATACCCCGCATGGGTACCTTACCATCAAAACCCAAAAGAGCTTAAGAAAATCCAATAACTCGGGCTATCCTTGTTGAAGGGCCCCTGAAGATCAAAAGAATTATCAAGATGGCAAGTCAGAATAGCCATTTGTTGAAGAAATTCTCCAATCCGAGACGTCAACCAAAATCAGGAAGAACATGTTGACAATTCGAGATAGAAGTTCTTATTAGGCAATTGATTGCCTAGCTTGGATTAATGCCCTGGTTCTAAGGGTAACCATCTTATTAAGGCTCCCATCTACTGTCAGACTTAGACTTTCGGGATGGCCACTAAAAAGCCCTCTACTAAGCCCCAGTATGATCGGGGTTTCAAGCCCCAAAGAAATTGTTTTACTAAGGCCCCAGTTGTCGACATGTTTAGACTTTCAGGATGGCCACCAAAAAGCCCCTAACTAAACTTGGCATATTAGGTGTAAGCCCCCCCAAAGCCCCAAAGAGACACCTCTTGTGCCATTAGTCCACGTCCTGGTGAAGTAGTTGATACGCCCCATTAAGGGCTCTCCCCGATTGTTTATCTAAAGCAAAATAAACAAATCAAAGGTTCAATGTAAAAAGGGAAGGAAGCCCTTAAACAAGGCACCTGCCGTGTAACAATCCTAAACTTTCAAATATATATATATATATATATATATAATAATAATAATAATAATAATATTAATGTTGTTAACAGAAATAAATACAAAAAAAATAAATAAATAAAAATAAATAAATAAATAAAAATAAAATAAAATAAAATAAAATAAATAAATAAATAAAATAATAAGTATATATTAGTAATGATAATAATAATAATAATACTAATATACCGTTAGGATATTGTTGCTTTTATATTAACAATAAAGAAAAGATATTATTGTTAATATTTTTGAAGGTCCAATTTTACTTGGGTGGACCTTAGGTCCACCACCTTAAAGGTTTATAAGAACACTCATTTAAACGACACCTTGCCTTGAGGTGTTCCTTTTTTATACGTCTTTTTTTCTCTCTCTCCTATGCACATCTCTTTTCAAAAAGCCCAACCTTTTCGCAAGTTTCAGATGAGGAGAGTAGAGAATTAGGATTGGGGTTAGGGTTTTAGCAGAGGGCACGATTGTGGAGTTAACGAAGCGAGGGGATTAAGGTTAGGGCTACCAGAATTTTTTCTTTTGTGGAGTGAGCTCGTGGATTTGCAGAGAGAATTACAGAGAGTTTTGGATCTAGCGTTTGCTAAATTTGTAGAGGGAGGGAGAGAGAGATAAATGAGAAGGTATCGTGCAGTTATCTAACTACGTTCTCTACCTCTGCTAACCATATAAAAGGAAATCCAAAAGCTTTTCAGTTACGGACTCCTCGCTCTTGTTTCTCTCTCTAGACTTCTCCTTGGAGCTTGACTCCTCCTCATCTTCTTCTGTGTAAGTGACATCGTCTTTCTGAAAAATAGTCTATTTTTAATAAATAGTGATATTTCCGTCTAGGATCGTTATTTTATCAGTTTTATGTGTAAGTGACCTCATTGTCTCGAAAAATAATCCATTCTTTTTAAAAATAAAATGAAATAATTATTTCTGCTTATTATCATGAATTTAAGTGCGATAAATTTTATGCGCACACGACCTCATTATCTTGAAAAATAATCTTTTTAATAAAAATTGTGATATTTTATCTATGTTAGAAATTTTAAATGCTGTAAATTCCTAGAAAAATAAATTTATTTATTTTTCTTGGCTATTGTTAGAAAATTTTAAATACTATCAAATTATTAGAAATAAATGTG